CAGAAGGGAACCCAGAGGAGGACCCAAAAGGGGACCCAGGAGAGGGCCCAGGAGGGGACCCAGAAGAGAACCCAGGAGGGGACCCAAGAGGGGCCCAACAACGAGGATGTAGCATAATATGTTTGAATTTGCGACAACGATGGCGTAATGAGGGTTTATCGAGTCTGCGCGTTGGCTGCGCCAAGCACGGACACGCGCTCTGTGGTAGACAAAACCACAAATGCAATCGCAAGACAAAAGGCTGGGAACCCTTTCTTGGGGTTCTCGGTTTTGCGGACCACGGGCAAGGCATGGTTACTCTGGAGGGCATCCGGAAAAGGGATGCCCCCCACCTATGGCAGAGGAGGGCTTCACATGGCCGCAGTAATCTATCTCTGAAACATTCCTGCTCGACGAGACCTGCCGCCGCCCGCTATTCGCTGCGGCAACATGGCCGCCATCAACCCTGCAGTGGGGCTACTGGAATGCTTGGGGGGGTCTCTCGGCTTTCCCGACTATGCGCCGAGCTTCGCGTTCGGCAAGGCGCTGCAGTACGTCGAAAACATGGTGGTGAGCACCCGTGTCTCAAGGTTCACAAGTTAGAAACGGCAGGGCAGCGCCAACTCCCTGGTTTACCAGCGCAGTTCGCGACGGAGCGGGCAAGCTGGCCCAGTACTTCGCAGATTACCAGGGCGACCACGAAGGCGAAGTTCCTTGGGGGGCTCTCTACGACTGCGCGAAGAAGCGCGACCCCAAGAGCATGCCTGAGCCCTTCTCCCTGAAGAGGGACCGCCTGTCCAATGCGCCATGCAAATATTCGCCGTCAAGAACTCCGACGGCAAACGCGACATCTTGAAAGACGTGAACCTCCTGGGGGTGCCGGCCAGGACCGACTCGTGCCTTCGCGTGTGTCGCGGCTCTGGTTTGACGTGGCGTTGTGGCAGCCAATAAAAGATTGGCCGCGTTGCGGTCCTGTGCATGCTGGAGAAGCCGGGGGGGTGCAAGGCTGCCCTGCCGCACCGTGGTCCCCAAGCCTGGCAAGGGGCCTTCCGGGAAGACGGCCGAATGGGAGCTCGAGGCCGCGGAGTGCCAGTTCTTGCGTGAGAAGGGGCCGCGCACCAACAATGCGAACCAGTTCATGGAGTTCGCGGATCGGGAGAGCGCTCGGCCAGAATCTCCCATCTTTGGGCGGTGGGGGAGCCGCGTCGAGAGGGCGCGGAACACTTGCGCGAAGGGCAGGGCAAACTCTAAGGGCTTCACGATCTGGGCCCTGACGCTGCGCGACTTCGACCCCTGGTTCCCCAGCGGCGTGATCAAGCCCATCCTGTCTCCCACTCTCAGGGTTTCGGCGCGGCGTGGATTGGCGCAAGGCGCACGTCGGGAAGAGCGCTGGGTCGAAGACTTTGGCGTTCGTGATGGGCCGCGTAGAGATCGAAGCGCCGGAGCAGTCTGGAGGAGTCGAGGCGGGCGGGCTTGTCCCGGCAATCGTGGCCCACGTCAGGCCAGCCGTCTACGACGATGGTAAGTTGTCTGAGCAAGCGGCGTCCACCCTGAAAGCGTTCCTGAACCCGAGCGAGGAAGGCGCTGCAATCGGGGCTCGGCGGGGGTCGTCCGAGTTCGACACTGGGCCCTCCTGTCAAGTCTGCAACAAGGCGTGCGACAAGAGGTTCGACGCCGAGCTCGCCTCCCAATGGAAAGAAGGCGCGCCGAAGGAGGACAGGGGCTCGCTGGCCGTCGTGGCGCGGGTGGATTTTGCGCTGGCCATGAAAAAACGGGTGCGCCTCCGCCATGGAAGCAAGGAAGACAGCCATGCACCCGTGTGAACCTACGCCAGCCCGAACAAGCCAGACCTCTTCAACAAGAAGTGCAAGGCAACTTTCGGCAAACACAACGAAAAAGACTCGACCAAGCCCGTCTACCCAGATTATTTCGAGGAGGACGTCAATTGGGAAAAAGCCAGATGGTCGATGAACTACTTGGCGCGCCTCTGGGAAAACGAAGACGCGCCGCTCGTGCCGACTGCCGCGGGCGCGGGCCTCTTCATCGCTGCTCCCGCGCCGTCCTCGCCGGGAAAGGGCTGCGACGAGTGGGGCCCTCGCTTGATGGGCGCCGTTGCATCTTCCTCGGGCGGCCTCCCGCGCGCGGCTGCCGCCGCCGGCAGGTGGCGCGCGAGCCTGCTCGACGGCGCGGGCAAAGACGAGCAGAAGGCGGTCTACGCGGCAATTCAGCAAAACTTCGGTAGAGGAGCGCGAAAGTCCGCGGCGAGCTGGTGGACTTGACGTTCTCCTCGCGAGCGCTTCTGGCGACAGGCGCCCGTAGCGCCGCGGGGCGCGGCGGCGATCTCGACCGGGTGGGCGTCGACGAGCAGAAGGCCATCTACGAAGCGATGCAGCGGGATTTCCTCCAGAAGAACAAGAATGACACTGGCGCGCAGATTGACGTCGCCACTCCCCCCCCGCCAGCGCCTTGCCGCAAAGGGCGACGACTTCGACGCGGAGGCCGCGCTCGCGCTCTGCCTCGGCCGCGAGGGCGCCCCGGGCCGCGAGCGAGCGGAGGAGGCCCGCGCGCGGGCGGAAGAGGGCGCCGCGTGCCTGGGCGGCGCCGCGTCGGATTGACGCGCTGTGCGTGGGGCGCCCTAGCGCGGGCAGCGCTGCCGCTTTCGGCTCGGGCACTGATGGGGCGCGCGCCGCCGAAGGGGCGCGCGCCGCCGGTGCCCCGGATGAGCCGCTAGCGCGCCGCGTAGCAATTCGCTTATCGTGTTCTTGTCGATGCGCGCGCATTGAGATGCACGCGCGCGTCGCGCGGCTGCTTCTTTGAAGCGGGGCTTGGGCCGTGCGCGGGAGTGGGGGTCCACATGCGAAAGCCGCGCCGCTGTGCCTTGATCCGATTGATTGAAACAGTTCTCGTCGTCGTCGTCGCCACCCTCCGTCCCGCGCGTCGCCCAGTCGCTGCCTTTCGCCGCTTGCGTCGCAGTTGCGAGCGGGGCGACTACTCGCGGAACGTCAAGTGCGCGTAGGTCAGCGACGTGGGCGCCATGGCCAACAACTCGTCACTGCCAGTCCCCATCTTTGCGCAGGTCCTGGGCCCCTTGCCAACGCCGTGCGAGCGCCCCGAGCGCGGCGGCGACAACTACAAACCCGTTTGCCGCCAGGACAAGAAGCACCTGGGCAGCGCGCTGTGGCGATTGCGATTCTGGGTGCCCATCGTGCATGCCGAAGGCCCATAAGTCCATGACTGCTGGCTCGACTCAGCCGGGCGTCCAGGCGTCGTCGTGGGGGAAGTTCTTCGACGCCGTGGCCATGCGGGTCATGGATTGCCCCCGCCAGCTGATGCAACGAGGGTCGGGCGTGACGTGCCAGACGCTTGACCGCCGGGTGTCTCTCTTCCAGGGCAAGGTGGCCCAGGCGCTCAGCATCATGTCTAAATCTGGGTCCTGGGCGAAAACGAGCAAGAAGTCGAAGGGCGCGGCGGCGGTCGAGACCCGCGGCAGGAGCTCGCTCGCCAAGAAGAAGGACAATATTGCTTCGATGGCGGCGGCGCAGAGGAAGAAGGCCGGCGTCGCGCTGGCCAAGGGGGGCCGACGTCTCCAAATTCAACGTGGCGCAGGTGGACGAGGCGCACCTCGGCTCCAGAGAGCGGCCCGCCCGCTAAAAAGACCAGGTCTGGGTCTGGGGCGCATCGCTGCAAGGTCGACCCGACATCTGGTTCTTCCGCATTCTGACCACCCGAAAGACGCCTTCGATGACAAGCCCCGCGGGCACAAGGAAATACTGACCGACCTCCGCCTGCTCGGCATTCGCAAAGGGGCCATCCTGGTGAGCGACTCCTGGACGGCCACGGTGTCCGCGCTCAACGCGTTCAAGAAGAGCAAGGGGTGAACTGCGAGGGGCATCAAGCGCGAGCTGACGGCGCACTCCGCGGGCGAGATCAAGAACCCCCGCGGTTCCTCCGCAGGCGGGATTGAGTCTGCGCGGTCTGCGGCGAAGCGCTGGGTCCGCCGCGGGCGCGGCGGGCGGATGCCGAGCCGCTCTGATCGGCCGAAGTGGCGCGACCTGCTCGCAGAGCTGCAGTGGCGAAAGCCGGCGGCCACCCAGGCGCTCGACTACGGCCGCGCCTTCTTCGTCCCATTCCGCGCCTTCGCCCGCGCGCGCGTGCCAGAGCCGCAGTGACCTTGCCGGGGGTATTGCTCAGACGCTGTCGCGCCACTGCTTTAATTCGTGGCGCGACGCTCGCGAGGTGTCAGGTTGCCGGGGGAACGCAAGCCATCATCCACATGCTTTGTTGTTTGCCATTCTGCAGGTGGCTCCCCGTCGCCCCCGAGCCTCCCTCCCCCTGCGTTGGTGCGCGACGGAAGGATTTCTAGTGGGAGCTGGAACAAGTTGAAACCACCGTGGGCAAGTGCAAACACTTTAACAACTCCAGCACTCCAAGCATGTCCATTTGTTGCGGATTTACGATTCTGCCGGCACATGAGGCAACCCTTGCGACCGGACGCTTATGTCCGGGCCGCCGGTGGTAACCCATCGGCGGCCGAAACGGGGGCTGGGGGTAATCCCTTGTTCGCGGGCTGGTGGCGGTAACCCATCGGCGCCTGGGCGCCGGGGGAAACCCTCGCAACTCGACCCCCATGGCGATCCGCTGTGCGCGACAGTGTGACCTCCTCGCCGCACTGTGCCGCGCTGCCCCCGCCGCCTAGCAATTCGTGCCTGCGCTCTCCCAGGCGCTCGATCCCCCGCCTCCGACCGCGGGGCGAAACAACGCAACTGACTGCAAACCTGGAACTGCGACTGGCGCGGCAGCTGGGGCCAGTGTACCGCTGGCGACGCAGCGAGTGGTCCAACGGCAGACGCGGCGGCAGGCAGCGCCCATGGGCCGGCCGCAGATGGGCCAGTGACGGCTGCGACGGGGGTGGCTGCTGCAAGGGCCTTCTCCTCGGATCCTGCCGCGACCCGCGGGGCCTCAACAGCTGGGGCGGCAGCGCCCATGGCCAGCACCTGGGCCTGGATGGACTTGAGTAAGGCAAGCCCCTGGCCGCTGGCTGCAGCAGCAGGGGCGGCACTGAGCAACGTCTGCGTGCCGCGCAAATTGGTGGCGAGGTTTGCCAGGTCCACGCCTCCAGAGCCCGCCGCCGAAGCTGCCGCGGCACGCTGGGCTGCAACAGCCTCCACCTCGAAACCAGCGATGGTGTCGCCGAGCTGCTCCTTCTTCGCGCGTGGGCTCTCAACCTGGGCCTCGGCAGCCTCCAGAGCAGAAGCAGCCTGCTCGTGCTCCTTTCGGGCCTCGGACAGGCGGCCCTGGTACGTGCGGAGGAGGACGTCGGAGGGCTGAGCCTTGCGGTCCTCCGCCTCCAGCATGACCAACTCACGGGCCGCGGCGGCGACAAGGGGGTGGTCGGCAGCATACTGGAGGTCCTGCAAGGCTGCCAAGCCCTTCCGTGCTCTGGCGACCGCAGGGCTGTCGGTGGTCCCAGCAGCAGCGGGCTCACCAACACGCTGGCCAGCAGGAGGAGCAGCCGAGCGGCGGCGGCGCCCAGCGGACGGGGCACGGGCGGGGGCCCTGGCCTTCGGCTCGGCGACAGGCTGCAGGCGGCCTTGGCGGTCGCGCCCGCACTTCCAGCACGTGGTCCTCGTCGGAAAGTTGGCGCGGAAACCGCAGAGGCGCGTGGCCACGCACTGCCGTGGCTGCCGGTCGCCACCTCCAGCAGCGTCGGCACCTGCACGTCGCCACGGTGCACCAGCCGACGACATCCACTGTCCCCGCACAGGCGTTCTCTGTGGTGGCGAGACAGCAGCCGCCGCGCGGTAGCGCAGCGCAGCGTGAGCTTGGAGCGCGGGCGAAGCCGCTGTGCCCGCCGATGCCAGGCCGGCGAGCGGAATCTGGCGCGCTCGGGAATGGCGCGAGTGCCCGAGACTCGGGTAACTGGCTGGAGCCAAATGGAAGGCGCCTCTCTCGCCCCAGCGGGGGGGAGGAACCCAAATGGCACCTATGATGATGATGCTGCTGCTGCTGCTGCTGATGATGCAGATGCTGATGCTGATGATGATGCTGATGATGCTGATGATGCTGATGCTGCTGATGATGATGCTGATGCTGATGATGACGATGATGGTGATGATGATGCTGATGATGCAACTGATGACAATGACGACAGTTATGACGACAGTTATGATGATGATGCTGATGATGATGTTGATGATGATGATGATGATGATGATGATGATGATGATGATGCTGATGATGATGCTGATGCTGATGTTGCTGATGCTGATGCTGATGCTGATGCTGATGCTGCTGATGATGATGATGATGATGGTGATGATGATGATGATGATGATGATGATGATGATGATGATGATGATGATGCTTAGGAGGACACGGAGAAGGATGAGGAACAGAAGGAGGAAGAGGAGACAGGAGGGGGAGGCGGAGGAACATGAGGATGATGAGGAGGATGAGGATGAGGATGAGGATGAGGAGGAGGAGGAGGAGGAGGAGAGGAGGAGGAGGAGGAGGAGGAGGAGCAGGAAGAAGAGGAGGAGGAGGAGGAGGAAGAAGAGGAGGAGGAGGAGGATGCATAGGAGGAGGAGGAGCACAGGAGAGGAGGAGGAGAAGGAGGAGGAGGAGGGGGAGGAGGAGGAGGAGGAGGAGGAGGAGGAAATGGGGGCGGAGGTGGAGGCGGAGGCGGAGGAGGAGGAGCAGGAGCAGGAGCAGGGGCAGGAGGAGGAGGAGGAGGAGGAGGAGGAGGAGGAGGAAAAGGAGGAGGAGAAGGAGGAACAGGAGGAACAGGAGGAGGAGGGGAGGAGGAGGAGGAGGGGAGGAGAAAGAGGAGGAGTATGATGAGGAGGAGGAGAGGAGGAGGAGGAGTATGAGGAGGAGGAGGGGAGGAGGAGGAGGAGAAGGAGGAGGAGATGGGGGCGGAGGCGGAGGCGGAGGAGGGGGAGGAGGAGGAGGAGGAGGAGGAGGAGGAGGAGGAGGAGGAGGAGGAGGAGGAGGAGGAGGCGGAGTGAGAGGCTTCGATTCGAACCGGCCTTTAGTTCCGACCGACCGACCGACCGAGGAGGCGGAGGAGGAGGAGGAGGAAGGAGGAGAAGGAGGAGGAGGAGGAGGAGGGGAGGAGGAGGAGGAGGATGAGGAGCAGGAGCAGGAGCAGGGGCAGGAGCAGTGGCAGGAGGAGGAGGAGGAGCAGGAGGAGGAGGAGGAGAGGAGGAGGAGAATGAGGATGAGGATTAAGTTGAGGAGGAGCAGGAGGAGTATGAGGAGGAGGAGGAGGAGGAGGAGGAGGAGGAGGAGCAGGAGCAGATGGAGCAGAGGGAGGAGGAGGACCAAGAGGAGGAGGACCAAAAGGAGAACAAGGAGGAGGAGGAGAAGGAGGAGGAGGCGGAGGAGGAGGAGGAGAAAGAGATGGAAGACGAGGAGACCCCTCTGGCGCCGCTCCTGGTGGCAGCGATGCCGTGCGCTGCGGGCGCCCCACGGGAGGCGGCGCGGCCCTCGCCAGGGACGCCGCCCTGACGTGGGCCACGCCTTGCGGGCGCAGCGGGGGAGGGAGGTTGCGCCCGAAATCCCCTCTCCCCCCCTTCACCTCTTCCAAGAGGAGGAGGAGGAGGAGGAGGAGGAGGAGGAGGAGGAGGAGGAGGAGGAGGAGGAGGAGGAGGAGGGAGGGGGAGGAGGAGGAGGAGGAGGAGGAGGAGGAGGAAAAGGAGGAGGAGGAGGTGGAGGAGGAGGAGGAGGAGGAGGGAGGAGGAGGGGGAGGAACGAACATGGAGGCGCAACACATGCGGGGAGAACTGCAATGCAGGCGTGGCTTGCCAGATGGAAGAACGGATACAAATTGAGCGCGGAAGACAGCAACCGTGTCAGAAATCACACCGCGTCCCTTTCCGGAGTTTGAGGGGAACGGGGAGGAGGAAGGAGAGACGTATGGGGAAGCGGGGTGGTTGCAAGTCAAACCCCGTGAACAAAATCAGCTCGTCCTGGCGCCTGCGGGCTGATGTGGCCCGTTCCTGAAGCCCTGAAACAAGAGATGTTGACATCTCTCAGGGCGATCTTTTACCTCCGCCGCCTTCCACTGGGAAGAGATGCCTTAGCTTATGACCCCTCTAAACTGACACCTTTTCCGGAACGCCCCTTGTAGAGGCAGGGGGACCCGTGGCACCAGAACGCCGCAACGCAGCCCTGACGGGTGGGGTCTGACTGCGGACCGTGCCCGCCAACTGCCAGGGATGGAGGTGCTCGACAGAAAGTGCATTGTTTTTTGTTTCGGTGCTGGGGCAGCGAATTCCGAGACCCAAGCTTTAGTTATCGGTGCTGCCCTCTGATGACTTCTGCGCGGCCGCCGAATGGCAGGCGTGGCGCTACGCCGCGGAGGATGATGGCACGGCCAGAGTGATGCCGTGAGGAACTCCTGCGAAAAGGGGCCCAGGGCCACACAGTCAAACACATCCCAGGATCCCCAAGTTTTTCCCAACCAACCTGTGTTGTTGAGTCCTCGTTTTGAGGAGACGGTCCCAGTGTTCCCTCCCTCCTTCCTTCCTTCCTTCCACCTTCTCCCCCTCTTACTTCTCATCCCGTTCCTCCCTCATTACGTGGCATCATAGGGAGCTCCACCGAAGGCTCCAGTGGGACCGCCCGCATGCGTCATCCACCACCCACCACAGCACTTCGTGGCCCCATAGAGAGCTCCACCGAAGGCTCCAGTGGGACCGCCCGCATGCGTCATCCATCACCCAACACAAGCGTTTCGTGGCTCCATAGAGGGCTCCTCCGAAAGCCCCACTGGGACCGCCTGCGTGCGTCATCCACCACCCAGCACGGCGTTTCGTGGCCCCATAGGGAGCTCCACCGAAGGCCCGAGTGGGACCGCCCGCGTGCGGCATCCACCACCCAGTAAAACGTTTCGTGGCTACATAAGGAGCTCCACCGAAAGCCCCATTGGGACTGCCCGCATGCGTCATCCACCACCCAATACAACGCTTCGTGGCCCCATAGGGAGCTCCACCGACAGCCCCACTGGGACCGCCCGCGTGCGTCGTCCACCACCCAGCACAGCACTTCGTGGCCCCATAGGGAGCTCCACCGAAGGCCCGAGTGGGACCGCCCGCGTGCGTCATCCACCACCAAGCACCACATTTCGTGGCTGCATAAGGAGCTCCACCGAAGGCTCCAGCGGGACTGCCCGCGTGTTTCATCCACCACCCAGTACAATGTTCGTGGCCCCGTCACCGAAGGCCCAGTGGGACCGCCCGCGTGCGTCATCCACCACCCAGCGCAGCGCTTCGTGGCCCCATAGGGAGGTCCACCGAAGGCCCGAGTGGGACCGCCCGCATGCGTCATCCACCACTCAATAAAACGTTTCGTGGCTACATAGGGAGCTCCACAGAAGGCCCCAATGGGACCGCCAGCATGCGTCATCCATCACCCAATACAGCGCTTCGTGACCCCATAGGGAGCTCCACCGAAAGCCCCATTGGGACCGCCCGCGTGCGTCATTCAACACCCAACACAACATTTCGTGGCTACATAGGGGGCTCCACCGAAGGCTCCAGTGGGACCGCCCGCATGCGTCACCCACCACCCAGCACAACGTTTCGTGGCCCCATACAGGGTTCCACGGAAGGCCCCACTGGGACCGCCCGCGTGCGTCATCCACCACCCAGCGCCACATTTCGTGGCCCCATAGGGAGCTCCACCGAAGGCTCCAGTGGGATCGCCTGCATGCGTCATCCACCACCCAGGACAGCGTATCGTGTCCCCACAGGGAGCTCCACCCAAGGTCTTTGTTGCGGAACTCGCATGGCGGCCCAATGGCGGAGCTCGCATGGCGGCGACTTTCGATTTCCGGAGGTTTTTCGTCGTATTCGACGTGTTGAAGCCATTTTCGGGCCGCGCATCCCCGGCGGGAGCCAGCCTGCTCGCTCTCTCTCTCTCTCTCTCTCTCTCTCTCTCTCTGCTCCGCGCAGCGGACGACCCGCGCGTGTCGCCGGGACCCCTTCGGGGCGACCAACGCGCGTCGCGGGGACTCCGTGCGGCGCCGCGCCCGAAGCCTTGGACGTGGGCGCGCACGGGCAAAGAGGGAGAAGAACGGGAAGGAAGCGGGCGCGATCCTCGTGAGAGGCGCGCCGACATGGGCGTCGACATTTATGCACGTAGACTCACGCGCGCGCAGACTCACCCACAATCAGACCCACTCGCTCTCAGTCTCTCGCACACAGACCTATCGTCTTCGCTCGCGTTGTGTGCCCCGCCACGCATGTCGGCACGCCCCTCGCACGGTTCGTGGCCCCATAGGGAGCGCGGGCGACGATGATTTTCATAATTGCGGTATTCACAGCTGCATGTGGTAGGGTCCTCCGCCAGGCTAAATTGTATATTTTCTGGTTTTCGTCACCCCCACCCTCTTCCCATATGTTCCCATATTTCCTGGAAGTCGATGATACTTTCCCCATATACTATGATGGGGTTCTGTTTATTACTCTGACGCCGCCGACTCTTCAGTCAGACCTCCTCCCATTCTCGTCTCCTCCTACTTAGACTCGTCCATACTCAGATTCCTTCGCACTCAAACTACTCAGAGTTGTTCGCATTCAGACTCACTCATACTCAGACTCTCTCGGATTCACTCATGCCACGACTCTGTCGTAGTCATCCATTTATATTCAGAAGATTCGGAAGGTGTCTGAGGTGGGGCGTTGGTTTCAGCACCCCTAAACAGGGAGCCGCCGGAAAGGGTATTGCACGGCCTCTCAAACGGTGTGCCTGTTTCGGTTACCGAGATCGTTTGTGTTGACAGCAAGTTGTGGAGATGTCACAGGCGGGGCGCTGGTTTCCGCACCCCTACGGGGGAACCGCCTGGGGGTATTGCGTGGGCCCCTTCGCGGCCAGTTTGTGGGGATGTCTCAAGCGGTTTGCTTGTCTACGTGCTCAACATCGTCCGCGTTGATAGCAATGTGCGAAAATGTCGTAGGCGGAGCGCTGGTTTCAGCACACCTACGGGGAACCGCCGGGGGTGTTTTCACGGGCTTGTTCGCGGCCAGTTTGTGGGGATGTCTCAGACGGTTTGCTTGTTTTGTGGCTCAACATCCTGTGCTGTCAGAGCAGATTTGGAGGAAGTCTCGGGCGGGGTGCTGATTTCACCGCCCCTTAGGAGGGGCCGCCAGGGGGTATGACACGGGCCCGTTTGCAGCCAGTTCATGGCGATGTCTTATGCGGTTCGCTTGTTTTGTGGCTCAACATCCTTTGCTTTCCGAGCAGATTTGGAGCATGTCTCAGGCGGGGCGCTGGTTTCCTTCTCTCTCTCGCTCCTCCGTTCCCTCTCCTGTGCGCTTCATCCATGCACCTCTGTCGTGTCCTCGCTCGGGCATCCCGGGGCCGAGTCGGCCTCGGGGGGAGCGACCTCAGGGTGCAGATCCAGTGATGGACAGAATGGCAGGACGTTCTTGGTTGAAGGCCGATGTGTTGCACCCCAGGTGGGTGAGTGGAGAAATGGCTGATGACGCTGAATGTTTTTCTGCGGTTGTGCAGGCTCGTGCAGGCTGGGGGATCGTTATCCGAGGCTGATCTGGTGATCCGCCGGAAGGCGCTCTCGGTTGAAGGCCATCCCCATCCATCGTGTTTCTGATTAAGGTCGAGGGCCGCCATTGTTCGTCATCCTGTGGGTGAGTGGAGCAACGACTGATGACTCACAGGGTTCTTCTGCGACAGTGGAAAATCGTGCAGGCTGGACGGATCGGTCTGCGTGGCAGATCTGGTGGTCCACATAATGAAAGGCGTTCTAGGTTGAAGGCTGTCAACATTTATCATCTTCCTGGGTAGGGTTGAAGACTGCCATTGTTGTTCATCCTGTGTGTGTGGGTTGAAGGCAACGAGGTCTCCGAGGCGCCGGGCGCGGCTCCACCGACAGTCGACCAGTTTTCCTGCGAACTGCTCTTGGAACGGCGCCAGGACATGCAAATCAAGGCTCGACCGCTGCGACGCCCTCGGGGGCAAGCGCTGCCGCTGTCAGCGCAGACGCGCGTTTCGCTCGGGCGTTCGACGGCCTCCTGGCATGGCTGGCGTCCGTGGACGGAGCTTCGACTGTCGGAGCAAGTTGCGCAGATCTGGGCGCCTTCGCAGCAACGGAGTCGGGCCTGTCGCCCACGGAGACCGAGGCGGCCGAACTTCAATTGCTGGATGACGGCGCCGTTTACGAGACGATCGGTAACCGTATCCAGGTGCTGGAAGGGTACGCTGCTTATTCCAGCGCGACTGCGAACGAAAGCGACGGCATCAACAGGGCGCTGGGCGACGCGCGGGACATGGCGGAGGGGGCCGACCAAAAGTCCGACGTGGCACAGCTGGAAGATATGAGGTCACAGGAGTAGTGATTCGCGCTGTGCCACTCGCCCTTCGCCCCGATGCCACGTGCAGACGGCTTCTGTCTGCGTTGCCAGCTCGGCCCGATGCCATGTGCGGACGGCCAAAGCCCAGGCGCAAACCGCGAGGGTGATATTTGTAGCACTTGGCTTTTGCACACCATGTGCCTACGG